GTAGAAAAAACTATCATAGACCTTGAAACTAGCCCTTTTTCTATAGAAATAATAATAATCATAGACCTAAAATATATTTATTATCCTGAATAAATAAATACAAATTAGGCTACAAGTACAACATAACAGAGATGCATATCACAATGATCAAAAGCACATCCAATGAAAAGCAAAACCTTAAACTGATTATTAGGATCGAATTAATCGAAGGCACATCATTCTAACCCCTTGTTTTTATATTACAAGTCGTTCTTTAACATGCTCCCCAAATTTGTTATTTCGTCAACCAACAGATAGACAATTCGATCGACCACAACCACTTGGACTTATCTTGAATTTTGTTTAACGGATATAACATCTTAAGTGTCTCTAGCTAGTCTCTACGATATGCCACGCCTACTCTAATTTTCTTTTCTCTGTGTTTTTTTTTTTTTTTAGAAGAGAGTCTTGACTTTTTTTCTTCCACCAAGCAAGGATAGAAAGAAAAAATTAAGGGTTTCGTGATTTTCATCATATATATACACACACTTAATAAGTTTTAGTAGATCTTCACTATATATAAATGGAAAAATATATCTATATTTCGTTTAAATTGTATGTTATATACTTTATAAAAAAAGGATTTCAGTATCATCATTTATATATACACTTAATAAGTTTTAGTGGATTTCTGCCAAATTAGCTCAAGCTCTCGAGCAAAGTCCTTTTGTCGGCCGACGACGATGGTGATGTGGTCTTTGTCGGGGATGACGTGGACAGTGGCATGTGGCACTTTGGTCTTGACATTGTAGCTACACTCCACAGGAATGACCTCGTCCTTGCCACCGTGGAATATGTTGACGTCACAGTCTACGTGGTCTCGGACATAGTCAAGATACGACTCGAGCTTGCCTCCTGAGCCGAAGATGATGTTGTGTAATGTGTGCCACGACCCGTTGTGTGTGTGACATAAAAACCCTTCTATCAAATACGTTCTCATCCTGCCATAGAAAAATGAATACAACATTATTGTTTGAAATTAATTTTATATACTTACGAAAAAACAAACCGAACGAAATCTAGGTAAATTCTGAAACTTTTTTAACTCAATCTTTTCTTATTCTTGTATATCACTTTTTCTATATATATATATATATATATATATATCTAGCGTATGGTTATGGATCATTGAAAATGATACATAGTTATGATATAAAAATGCCAAAATGAAATTTAATGTTTCAAATAATGGATGAGACACGTCGACATAAATCACTTTCGGTGTTTAATTAAAAACATTTTACGTTTCGTTATTATTTTCCTTCATAAAGACATTTTTCTATTACATAAAGTTATTAGATTGAATTCTCGCATTTCCTGATATGGTATCACAATTTTTTTTATGTAAAAGTTACTAAAGTGAACCAATCAACATCTTATTATTAGAATTATCTTACAACAATTTCAAAACGTCAATTTCAAGATTTGAGAAGAAGAGTAGATAGGAGGGGAGTAGTTGGTTCATTAAAACTTAAAGACTTTTAGTCATGTAGGTGTTCCCCTAATCTCATGCACCGTGAACTTAAGGTCAATTTTCCTTATTTAATTTTCAACAATATAATTTGTGGACGTAAACCTACGATCGATCGTCGTCTGGTTATAACTGAAGTGTGATTAAGGCCATGATTCTTTCTTTTAGTCTCTACGTATTTTATGGTTTCTAGAATACTACAATACGAAAATGGAAACGTAGAGAAACCATCGTAGCGTAATGTTATGTTGTATGATATTGAAATATGTACCTGTTCAAGGTAAGGAGACGAGTGAGCGATTCAATCAATTGATGGTTTTTGCAGAGTACAAGGCAAACGGTGCGACCAATGTGCTCGTACCAGCTGATTAGCGACGCACCAAACTGCATCGGTGGCCAAACGTTCTTAGGAGCCACTTTCCTCATTACGTATTGTGCGGGCTGTACTCCCTTCGGCACCTTGTAAAATGGCTGCCATATTATATGACTTCATTTAATTAGTTAACCAAAATATTCCAATATATACATAGTTATTGCCAAAACTAAGTTGAGAAAATCAGAATTTGCACTGATATATAAACGATATGATGATATAAGACCTTTTTACTCATTAAGTAGCATCAGCTGTTTTGAAGTAGAAGTTTATGATTACGAAAGGGTTAATTGACTTACAGGAGCCAAGAGAGTGAGGGACTTGATAGCTCCAGGGTGTTTAACGGCGAGTGCAAGAGCCAAAACGCAGCCTAAAGAGTGAGCCACTATGTGGAACGTTTTGAGCTTATAGTGAGAGATCACCGATTTCTCAATCATCTCTAAATGTTCTCGTAATGTATACAACGAGTCGTTTGGCTTCGGACTTCTTCCATAACCCAAAAGATCGACTGCGATGAGCCTATAATTCGATTTGGCTGAATTAGAAAAGCTTGGGAAGACAGTCTCTGTCCAAAAGGAGGATGATGATAAGAAGCCATGTATGAACACAACGTTGTCTCGTGCTTTCTTGTTATCTGCACATATAAATATCTCATTTATTTTAATCTGGTACCTTAACTAGTGTATATTCCCCAAAATGAGAAAGCTTGTAGCTAGCTAGTGTATTGGATATTTGGATGACGACAAGAATGTATACCTATATCAGACTAAAAAGTAAAAACAATGCATAACCCTTGTATTCATAATAATCAATATATTATTCTTGCAGGTGATTTCGTTTTCGTAAAATACTCATAATATTTTATTTTCTAGCTAGGGGAAGTTTTAATTTTTTAATGGAAAATATAATTTGTTCTATATATGTATAGTCGTCTTTACAATAAATAATCACTGTAGTTATTTTATTGTTGTATTTATAATACTTTTAAAACATTTCTTAATTAATGTGCATTAGTAAGAAACCATCACTAAATATGAAATAAAGGGATTATGTTATGTTTTACGTTTATGTAAATGGTGATCTCTTTTATTGTACGTTAAGCTCATGTTACCATTTTGTTACAATAAATCAACTTTCATCTCACAAGAGTTTAATGTACCCAAGTATTCAAATTTCCTAGTTGTGTATATATATATACTCCAATGAATAAAAACAAATTATGGAATTAATTTAGGAATAGTGGGTTAGTTTTACCTTTGGGTTGTTGAACTTTGACAAAGAGAGAATCTTTGTTAGAAGAAGAAAGCCGGGAAGTACAGAAACTGCAATGACAATCCGACCATCTTGGTGTTGTTGGAGATTTATCAACGACCGTGGAATTCAAAGTCATTAATCTCTTTTTATTACCACCACGAGTCTTCTTCTTAGACTGGTCATTATGATCACAAGAGTCCACCACATTGCATCTCATGATCAAACCTGTATAATTGAAGCATTTCACGGACCTCACGAGCTTAGAGAGCCTCGTTAGAAGCGAAGGACCACGTGAGTAAAGTGTGTCCGAGATCTCATCGAAATGTATCTTTGTTCTTGTCATAGACACAACCTTTGAGTACTCTCCTCGCTCGGACACTATGATCTTCTCGGTCTTGGTTTGAGCCTCTAGTGGAGAAGAGCAATAACAAGGTTTCCACTCGGACTCGAAGAAGAAATCTAAAATCTTGTAAGTAAAACAAAGCAAATAGTCGACAATGTCGAGGAAAAAGAAGACGAATATGCCCACGGTGCGATTGAGCCACCGTGTAATGGCCATAATGTGTGATGGTGATGAAGAAGTGGTTTTTATTTGAATTTCGGTGGATGTGAGAGTGTGTTATATAAAATGATGTTGTATGAGAGAGAGGGTAATATATAGAAGATGACAGATATATGAATTTATTGTTTCATTTAAATAATTTGCTGTCCAAAGTATTGAAATTGGGTGGAGGTTGAATCCTTTTTTTTGGGTGGGCAAACCCTAAATCAACTATTTAATGTCTATTATCTATATTTTTAATATGTTTATAATTTGGAATGTACTATAGTATTAGTTTATGGTTTGAGGGCTAAAGTACTGAAGAAAAAAAAACAAATGTGGAAATCAAATGCTATTAAATTTAAAATCATTTCTAGTTTTCTAATAGTTCTATCAAAAGGTTAAAAACATATATGTATTTTTTTTTTTTGGTAATCGGAAGGAGATAGAAATCTCCCTCAAGTTTTATTAAAGAACTAAACAATGTCTTACAAACTGGGTTCGTGTAGAGCCATTTGCATCCTCCGTAACCAACTCTGCAATCTCAGGTGGGACGGAAGGAAAAGAATAAAAACCTAATGGCAAAGAGTAGGCAAAATTTGCAAGACCATCTGCTACAAACCTAAACATCTATGTATTTTTTGTCTCAATATATACGTAATTGGGTATTATATTAGTTGAAAATAATTCATATATAAATAATAATAATAATAATAATAACAATAATAATAATAATAATAATAATAATAATTTATCAAAAAAACTAAATGTTTAGTATAAATAGTTATACAAAAATTATGTAGTGTTTGTTAGAGAACGCGCCTGATATGAAATGTCAAGTGTGGTCGATGTGTCACATGTGCAATCAATAAAACTCTTTGCATCATCATTGTCTTTGAATATTATTAACAGGACAGCCTAGCCTAACTTGTTGTCTTATTCCCACATATTCATAATATTTGATTACAAAAATTACAAGGAGGAAGATAACGACTGTTGTTTATTTACCCTTTTTTTTTTGACATCGAAAGTGTTAATTTAGTTATAACTTATATTATTATTGAGACATACAATCACTATGTAAAACTCCAAACAATCAATATTTGTGTTAATTATATACCAAGAACCATGCTACACACTACGTATAATAGTGTACGTAGAAGAACCATGTGCAATAAACCTTTTGAACAAGTCCTAATGTAACATACGTAAGCAAGAGGAATGGTTCAAAAGTCTTATTGTATATATTCACGAACCTAAACTTTACTTAACTAAGCAGTACATCTCTTACCATTTGCAAAGATTCGTCAAAGTAAAAAAAAATGGAGATCACACATAGCTCTTCTCTCAAGCCTTTTAACTTCACTCTTCTTCTTCTTTGGCTATCACATGTTCAGGCTGCTCAATCTTTCACAAATTTCATATTTGGAGACTCATTGGTAGATGTTGGAAACAACAACTATATATTTACATTGTCGAAAGCTGATTCTTCTCCTTATGGCATCGACTTTGGACCTTCCAATGGCCAACCCACCGGAAGATTCACTAATGGTCGAACCATTTCTGATATCGTAGGTATGTTGTCTATTGGTTTATTAGTTTTTAACTTTTAATTAAGTAGATTGGAATTATATGTTTAGTACTTCATCAAAAACTTCATTCAAATCATGGGATGATAATATAAGAAAAATTAGTGAAAACAGCATTTATTGTGAGATTGAGAAAATAGTGAAAGTCGGTTACTACATAATCAGATATAGATGTGCATTGATTTAACGGTTAGTTACATCGATTTAAATAGAAAGGGAGGATTCTTCTAGTTACAAAGACACTTGAAGTCAACGGGTTGATAAGTTGACTTGTCTTGAAGCATGTAAAGTCAGAATTGGGTTGGAACGACAAATTAAAGAGTTTGTAATAGGGAAAAGTCAAAACGCGAATTCCATAAATGCAACATTCATAAAGTTTGGTTAGGAGTTCTAACTAATTTATCATAGGCTTCTTCTGATCATTTGTTGTCTGATTCTTTAATCACTTAATAATGTTATCTAAAGCTTAAGATGATGCCACTCTGTGATCAACGGTCTTATACAGCTTATAAGATAAACTAATATATAGTTTTATTTGAATAAATTTAAACAGGTGAAGCCTTAGGAGCAAAATCAGCACCACCTCCATATCTTGAACCAAACACTGAGGCTAACACAGTTTACAATGGAATCAACTATGCTTCTGGTGCGGCTGGAATCTTGGATGATACTGGACTTTTTTTCGTAAGCTCCATTAGCTTTGATTTCCATTACATATCACTATGTTTTGATAGAAATGTTGTTTTAAAATGTACATCATCATATTATAATTCAATATCTGTGTGAGAGATGTGTCAAAATAATACTTATTAGCTTTAATGATGACCAAAAAAAAATACATTTTTGTTTTGTTTTACAGATCGGAAGAGTTCCGTTGAGGGAACAAGTGAGTAATTTTGAGAAGAGTAGAGAAGATATGGTAAGAATGATTGGTGAAAATGGGACAAAAGAGATGTTGAAGGAGGCAATGTTCTCAATCACAATTGGGTCGGACTCCTTACCTCTTCCGGTTCCCAAATTGGTCCATTTGATGTTCCTCCCTTGGATTGAGACCGTTTCACTCATGTTTGTCCTCATAGTCATGTGTAGAACCTATTAATCCATGTTTGGTAAGTATGGGTCCATCTAGTTCATCTTATACACTACAAGTGAGTTTCCACAATGTGGAGTCACAGAGGTACATTTCGGACTCCTTACCTCTTCCGGTTCCCAAATTTGGTCCATTTGATGTTCCTCCCTTGGATTGAGACCGTTTCACTCATGTTTGTCCTCATAGTCATGTGTAGAACTATTAATCCATGTTTGGTAAGTATGGGTCCATCTAGTTCATCTTATACACTACAAGTGAGTTTCCACAATGTGGAGGCACAGAGGTACATTTCGGACTCCTTACCTCTTCCGGTTCCCAAATTTGGTCCATTTGATGTTCCTCCCTTGGATTGAGACCGTTTCACTCATGTTTGTCCTCATAGTCATGTGTAGAAGCTATTAATCCATGTTTGGTAAGTATGGGTCCATCTAGTTCATCTTATACACTACAAGTGAGTTTCCACAATGTGGAGGCACAGAGGTACATTTCGGACTCCTTACCTCTTCCGGTTCCCAAATTTGGTCCATTTGATGTTCCTCCCTTGGATTGAGACCGTTTCACTCATGTTTGTCCTCATAGTCATGTGTAGAAGCTATTAATCCATGTTTGGGTAAGTATGGGTCCATCTAGTTCATCTTATACACTACAAGTGAGTTTCCACAATGTGGAGGCACAGAGGTACATTTCGGACTCCTTACCTCTTCCGGTTCCCAAATTTGGTCCATTTGATGTTCCTCCCTTGGATTGAGACCGTTTCACTCATGTTTGTCCTCATAGTCATGTGTAGAACTATTAATCCATGTTTGGTAAGTATGGGTCCATCTAGTTCATCTTATACACTACAAGTGAGTTTCCACAATGTGGAGTCACAGAGGTACATTTCGGACTCCTTACCTCTTCCGGTTCCCAAATTTGGTCCATTTGATGTTCCTCCCTTGGATTGAGACCGTTTCACTCATGTTTGTCCTCATAGTCATGTGTAGAACTATTAATCCATGTTTGGGTAAGTATGGGTCCATCTAGTTCATCTTATACACTACAAGTGAGTTTCCACAATGTGGAGTCACAGAGGTACATTTCGGACTCCTTACCTCTTCCGGTTCCCAAATTTGGTCCATTTGATGTTCCTCCCTTGGATTGAGACCGTTTCACTCATGTTTGTCCTCATAGTCATGTGTAGAAGCTATTAATCCATGTTTGGGTAAGTATGGGTCCATCTAGTTCATCTTATACACTACAAGTGAGTTTCCACAATGTGGAGTCACAGAGGTACATTTCGGACTCCTTACCTCTTCCGGTTCCCAAATTTGGTCCATTTGATGTTCCTCCCTTGGATTGAGACCGTTTCACTCATGTTTGTCCTCATAGTCATGTGTAGAACCTATTAATCCATGTTTGGTAAGTATGGGTCCATCTAGTTCATCTTATACACTACAAGTGAGTTTCCACAATGTGGAGTCACAGAGGTACATTTCGGACTCCTTACCTCTTCCGGTTCCCAAATTTGGTCCATTTGATGTTCCTCCCTTGGATTGAGACCGTTTCACTCATGTTTGTCCTCATAGTCATGTGTAGAAGCTATTAATCCATGTTTGGTAAGTATGGGTCCATCTAGTTCATCTTATACACTACAAGTGAGTTTCCACAATGTGGAGTCACAGAGGTACATTTCGGACTCCTTACCTCTTCCGGTTCCCAAATTTGGTCCATTTGATGTTCCTCCCTTGGATTGAGACCGTTTCACTCATGTTTGTCCTCATAGTCATGTGTAGAACTATTAATCCATGTTTGGGTAAGTATGGGTCCATCTAGTTCATCTTATACACTACAAGTGAGTTTCCACAATGTGGAGGCACAGAGGTACATTTCGGACTCCTTACCTCTTCCGGTTCCCAAATTTGGTCCATTTGATGTTCCTCCCTTGGATTGAGACCGTTTCACTCATGTTTGTCCTCATAGTCATGTGTAGAACTATTAATCCATGTTTGGGTAAGTATGGGTCCATCTAGTTCATCTTATACACTACAAGTGAGTTTCCACAATGTGGAGGCACAGAGGTACATTTCGGACTCCTTACCTCTTCCGGTTCCCAAATTTGGTCCATTTGATGTTCCTCCCTTGGATTGAGACCGTTTCACTCATGTTTGTCCTCATAGTCATGTGTAGAACTATTAATCCATGTTTGGGTAAGTATGGGTCCATCTAGTTCATCTTATACACTACAAGTGAGTTTCCACAATGTGGAGTCACAGAGGTACATTTCGGACTCCTTACCTCTTCCGGTTCCCAAATTTGGTCCATTTGATGTTCCTCCCTTGGATTGAGACCGTTTCACTCATGTTTGTCCTCATAGTCATGTGTAGAACTATTAATCCATGTTTGGGTAAGTATGGGTCCATCTAGTTCATCTTATACACTACAAGTGAGTTTCCACAATGTGGAGGCACAGAGGTACATTTCGGACTCCTTACCTCTTCCGGTTCCCAAATTTGGTCCATTTGATGTTCCTCCCTTGGATTGAGACCGTTTCACTCATGTTTGTCCTCATAGTCATGTGTAGAACTATTAATCCATGTTTGGGTAAGTATGGGTCCATCTAGTTCATCTTATACACTACAAGTGAGTTTCCACAATGTGGAGGCACAGAGGTACATTTCGGACTCCTTACCTCTTCCGGTTCCCAAATTTGGTCCATTTGATGTTCCTCCCTTGGATTGAGACCGTTTCACTCATGTTTGTCCTCATAGTCATGTGTAGAAGCTGTTAATCCATGTTTTGGTAAGTATGGGTCCATCTAGTTCATCTTATACACTACAAGTGAGTTTCCACAATGTGGAGGCACAGAGGTACATTTCGGACTCCTTACCTCTTCCGGTTCCCAAATTTGGTCCATTTGATGTTCCTCCCTTGGATTGAGACCGTTTCACTCATGTTTGTCCTCATAGTCATGTGTAGAACCTATTAATCCATGTTTGGGTAAGTATGGGTCCATCTAGTTCATCTTATACACTACAAGTGAGTTTCCACAATGTGGAGTCACAGAGGTACATTTCGGACTCCTTACCTCTTCCGGTTCCCAAATTTGGTCCATTTGATGTTCCTCCCTTGGATTGAGACCGTTTCACTCATGTTTGTCCTCATAGTCATGTGTAGAACTATTAATCCATGTTTGGTAAGTATGGGTCCATCTAGTTCATCTTATACACTACAAGTGAGTTTCCACAATGTGGAGGCACAGAGGTACATTTCGGACTCCTTACCTCTTCCGGTTCCCAAATTTGGTCCATTTGATGTTCCTCCCTTGGATTGAGACCGTTTCACTCATGTTTGTCCTCATAGTCATGTGTAGAACTATTAATCCATGTTTGGTAAGTATGGGTCCATCTAGTTCATCTTATACACTACAAGTGAGTTTCCACAATGTGGAGTCACAGAGGTACATTTCGGACTCCTTACCTCTTCCGGTTCCCAAATTTGGTCCATTTGATGTTCCTCCCTTGGATTGAGACCGTTTCACTCATGTTTGTCCTCATAGTCATGTGTAGAACCTATTAATCCATGTTTGGTAAGTATGGGTCCATCTAGTTCATCTTATACACTACAAGTGAGTTTCCACAATGTGGAGGCACAGAGGTACATTTCGGACTCCTTACCTCTTCCGGTTCCCAAATTTGGTCCATTTGATGTTCCTCCCTTGGATTGAGACCGTTTCACTCATGTTTGTCCTCATAGTCATGTGTAGAACCTATTAATCCATGTTTGGTAAGTATGGGTCCATCTAGTTCATCTTATACACTACAAGTGAGTTTCCACAATGTGGAGTCACAGAGGTACATTTCGGACTCCTTACCTCTTCCGGTTCCCAAATTTGGTCCATTTGATGTTCCTCCCTTGGATTGAGACCGTTTCACTCATGTTTGTCCTCATAGTCATGTGTAGAACTATTAATCCATGTTTGGTAAGTATGGGTCCATCTAGTTCATCTTATACACTACAAGTGAGTTTCCACAATGTGGAGGCACAGAGGTACATTTCGGACTCCTTACCTCTTCCGGTTCCCAAATTTGGTCCATTTGATGTTCCTCCCTTGGATTGAGACCGTTTCACTCATGTTTGTCCTCATAGTCATGTGTAGAACCTATTAATCCATGTTTGGGTAAGTATGGGTCCATCTAGTTCATCTTATACACTACAAGTGAGTTTCCACAATGTGGAGTCACAGAGGTACATTTCGGACTCCTTACCTCTTCCGGTTCCCAAATTTGGTCCATTTGATGTTCCTCCCTTGGATTGAGACCGTTTCACTCATGTTTGTCCTCATAGTCATGTGTAGAACCTATTAATCCATGTTTGGGTAAGTATGGGTCCATCTAGTTCATCTTATACACTACAAGTGAGTTTCCACAATGTGGAGGCACAGAGGTACATTTCGGACTCCTTACCTCTTCCGGTTCCCAAATTTGGTCCATTTGATGTTCCTCCCTTGGATTGAGACCGTTTCACTCATGTTTGTCCTCATAGTCATGTGTAGAACCTATTAATCCATGTTTGGGTAAGTATGGGTCCATCTAGTTCATCTTATACACTACAAGTGAGTTTCCACAATGTGGAGGCACAGAGGTACATTTCGGACTCCTTACCTCTTCCGGTTCCCAAATTTGGTCCATTTGATGTTCCTCCCTTGGATTGAGACCGTTTCACTCATGTTTGTCCTCATAGTCATGTGTAGAACCTATTAATCCATGTTTGGGTAAGTATGGGTCCATCTAGTTCATCTTATACACTACAAGTGAGTTTCCACAATGTGGAGTCACAGAGGTACATTTCGGACTCCTTACCTCTTCCGGTTCCCAAATTTGGTCCATTTGATGTTCCTCCCTTGGATTGAGACCGTTTCACTCATGTTTGTCCTCATAGTCATGTGTAGAACTATTAATCCATGTTTGGTAAGTATGGGTCCATCTAGTTCATCTTATACACTACAAGTGAGTTTCCACAATGTGGAGGCA